AGCAATATAGTTAGCCACCTGCTCTTGGAATCATAGTACAGAACAGTTTTCCATTGCAAAACAGTTCTTAAGAGGATTATTGCAGGAAACAAGACCAGAAAAAAATGTTTTCCAAAAACTCTATAATTTGGTAATTCTACCAAAACATCTGACACATCAATAATATAACACGCTGAATGGTACTATGATTATTTGGCCGCAAGTATGTTTACCAACATCAAAGATTACTACTATGGAGGTAAACAATATTGTTTTCTTGTGTATCAGAATTCAAAGTCCCATCTATTTACTCCTCGTAGGTAAAAATATTGGAAACATCCAACTATATCAAATAGCTGCATTTAAAAAGAAAAAAAAATGTATTTTAAAATACACACATACTTTTCCAACACAAACAGTTATCAAAAGTCCTACAGAGTTATCACAAATGCTACACTATAAACACACTTATGACACCTCAAACAATTGCCTGGACTTTTCATTAAAGGAGGCCAAAAAGATAGTCATGAATTAAGGTAAAATGATGATATACACCTCAAGATTTTTGTCCGCAGTCCAAAGCTGCAACTCTTCTAAATCCGAACACACTAAGAAATGAGCTGTCACAAAATAAATAGTAGCCCTATAATTATTTTGACAAACAAGTTATAATTGGATCATTCTGGCCTGCATAAAGTTAACCACCTCAAGAGACAATTATTGCACCAAGTTTTCCCATTAATTATTTTCTAGGCTTAAAACAACTTTTTATCAGGCTTTATAACTTCACAGATATAAACTGTAAGCCACATCCTCTACCAAATCATCTGCAAGATCCTTGAATAAAAATTAAATGACTATAAAAATTCACATTACACAGGATTTGACATGTATACAAGATAGCTAATATTACAATTACCCTCCCTCTTCAATACTCCCATTCACTTAGTATGTGTCTTTATTTTATCATTCTTAAAGCCATTTAATAGGTGATCACCCCCATAAGACTGTGAACTTGAAAACTGGAAATCCACCCTATTTATCTTGGTTATCCTCACTGCCTAGAAATGCCCTGGCCAAAATAGTCATTTGAGATACACTGTGTGACTAAGAACATAATACCTTCGTCACAACTGCATAAAAGCTGAAGGAGATAAACAGGAAATCAAGTAAATAGAAGATAATTTTAAGAACACACAAAAACAGAATCTGAGCGGTAACAGATACATCAGGGGAAAAAGCACTGGTCTGGAGGGGCTGGAATGCCTTTGGAATTTAGATAAATTCTAATCCAGATTTTGACAATAACAGATTTTACAAACTTTAGTGAATCACTTTGCTTCCTGGATCTCAATTTCCCCATTTATAAAATAAATACTATGATTAAATGAGCTCTAAGTTTACTTATATGCCATAAAAATGATTTTAAAGCAGCAGGAACACTTATTCCTGAAAAACAGCACTGACAGAACAGTTATAATATACTATGCGAGATAATGTGATTCTGGAGCAAAAGATATTGTATGGGTGGGATGCACAACACCATAAATAGTAATAGGTCACATCAATAGCAGCCATAAGCAGGCAAGAATTATATGCACACATACCTAATGTGAAAAATTACTGATATTTTCACTCATTCAATAAATCTGAAAAGGAATCAAGTTCTGCCAAAAGCAAAGGTTAAGAGATCTGAAGAAAAGAGACATAAAGGCAAAATTCTGTTTGTTATTCCCAAGTAGAAATTATAACAGTACAGATCATATGTAGTGTGCGCATGTGCGCGCACGCGCACACACACAAACACATACATGAAAAAAACACGAAGCATTTTTATGCTTTCTATGAATTGAAAGGCTCGTTAAAATGAATCACATAATTTAATTATTTGGGCTAGAACAAACCAATATTTCACAACATTTTAGCAAAAATTAAGTTTCAACAATATGCACATCTGGGATATATTGTCTTTCTGCCCCACTTATTGGGACACTGAAAACCAAACATGCATAGGATCAAAGACATTCATTCCTAAACTTGAAAACTGAAACAACTCATAGACCTATAATGTAACCACATAACCAAAATAAAACTTTGCCTTAATACAAATGAATCATCCACCTCAGAGAAGAACTTTAATGTAAGCTCTGTTATCAGTACTATGCTAAATAGTGTAAAAGATCCTTGCCCACAGGAAAATTTCCCAAGCTACTAGCAAGGTAGTTTTCGGTCACTGTAAACACACAGTCTCATTTCTCCAACATCCTTCCCAAAAACCTAGGAAGAAAAGTAAGCAATTTCAATATCCATGTATATTTCAAGATATTTTTAAAAGGTACAAGAGGTCCAACAAAACAAAAATTACAAATAAAACATATCCTTGCCCTGCCGACATGGATCAGTGGTTGAGCATCGACCTATGAACCAGGAGATCATGGTTCTATTCCTGGTCAGGGCACATGCCCGGATTGCAGGCTCAATCCCCAGTAGCAGGCATGCAGGAGGCAGCCGATCAATGATTCTCTCTCATTACTGATGTTTCTATCTTCCCCCCTTCCTCTCTAAAATCAATCAATATATATATATATATATATATATATATATATATATACACACACACACACATACATATACACATATATATAAATAAATATATATATATTTTTTAAATATCCAGTTGTATGAAAACAAAATATACTGTACCCCAAAGGGCATGTCCAGAAAGGGAGTAAGACAGAGCACCTTGAGATTATCTCACAATAGAAAATAGAAATACATTTTCAGTCATCACAACTACAAATCAAAATCATTAAGAATAGCCCTAGCCGTAGCCGGTTTGGCTCAGTGGATGGAGCGTCGGCCTGCGGACTGAAGGGGCCCGGGTTCGATTCCGGTCAAGGGCATGTGCCTTGGTTGCGGACACATCCCCAGTGGGAGATGTGCAGGAGGCAGCTGATCGATGCTTCTCGCTCATCGATGTTTCTAACTCTCTCTCTCCTTTCCTCTCTGTAAAAAATCAATAAAATACATTAAAAAAAAAAAAAGAAGAAGAATAGCCCTAGCCAGTTTGGCTCAGTGGATAGAGTGTGGGCCTGCGAACTGAAGGGTCCCGGGTTTGATGCCTCAGTTGTAGGCTCCTTCCTATCCCAGGCCCTGGTCGAGGCTCATGCAGGAGGCAACCAATCGATGTGTTTCATTCACATCGGTATTTCTGTCTTTCCTTCTCTCTTCCACTCTCTCTAAAAAGCAATGGAAAAATTCCTTGGATGAGGTTTTTAAAAAAAAAAATTAAGAAAAATAAAATGAAACAAACCATCAAAAGACTTCTATAAATTTTCCAAAAAGTTCATTGTTATGGGTTCTATTAATAGTATTTCTGACCTGACTATTAATACATCAATCTTTCTGAAGTTTTTCAAAAGGAAGGTGAAGTAGAAAAAATCAACTGAGAGTTTCAAATTTAAGCAACATTTCTATTGCATGTTCATGTATATAATCAATGTCTATCTGATCCTGATAATGGCAGGGTATCACACATGTCCACTAAGTTAAAAAAAAAAAAAAAAAGCCCCAAACCAATTAAAGTCAATTATGGAGCATTCCAAGTCTACTAATTATATATAGACTAGAAAGTATTTAATTATGAATTTTAATCTACCTAAACTTTTCAGCTCTATCTCCAGGAATTATAGCCTAAATTCCCTCTGACATCAACTGCTCACACAAAACAATTCTGGCTCTCCTCCCCCCTAATCAAGATCAGACAATCACAATTCTTTACTGGTTCCAATGTTTCATGATAGGACATGTTCTTTTTTTTACAGCCTACCAAGCACTTGCACATACATTAATTATTTCATTTAGTCTTCCAACAATCCTAGGAGGTAGGGCAAGAATTATCATCTTCATTTCATTGCCAAAATAGAGATTGAAAGATGTTAAATAGGTAGCTAGTTCACTGCTAGAAAGTAGTTGAAGGAAGACTAGAATCCACATGTCTTTATTCCATGTCCAATTACATTCCCCAATGTCACAAAAATAAAAAGTATTGCTAAAAATTATTGAACTTAAAAATTACACTTTTCTTACTTAATCAAACCCTCTGTAGATACAATAAGAATTAAAGTTAAGATTCTAAAGCAAATACAAACAAACAGTTAATAGTCTAAACCAGGGGTGGGAACATCTGGCCCACAGGCCATTTAAGGCCCGTGAAATCATTTGGTCTGGTCCTGCCAAGGCATTAGGGGGTGAGTTAATTAAATGTTTGAGCAAATATAGCAGGCTAATTTTTAAGTTGATAATTTTGTATGACCTATGAATGATGGTATAAATGTCCAAATGGCCCTTGGCAGAAAAAAGGTCTAAACCAACTTCTTCCTATAACATACCTTAAAAACCTAATGTAATATTCAAGAGCAATTCAAATACTACAATAAAAACAGCTTAAAGTTAAAAATAATTCTACTGTATTCATCCTATCACATAACACACAACCAACTCTGCGTAATGCATGCTTGTAGACAATAGGTGAGGTTATTATTATACTATATTTGAATTCAAATAAAAATGTCCAAAAACCTCCTAGTCTTAAGCTCCTTGTGGCTTTGCTATATTCTAGTCTAGGAGTGTCCACAGTGGGGTGCACATGAAAATCCACTGAAATATGGGAAGAAATTATTAGAATGCTGTCTTCATTTTTTTAACCTGAAAATATTAATTTTACTAAATTTACTGTATGAATTGATACTGTCACTCTCACATAAACTCAAAAATACACATATATTTGGGGTGGGGTATGCTCAAAATAGTTTCACACAAGGGATTCCTATTCAGGAAAATTTAGAAATGGTTGCTTCAAACAACAGAGAAGGTACACGAGTACTAGAAAACAGATGACTCTAGACTGCATCAAATAATAAAAGAATCTATTTAAGGCAGTCAATATCCTGCAGTTGCATATGAAAATAAAGGTCTTAAACTGCATTTACATAATCCATGCTGATATAAACATAACTTACCTCATCCTGGACTCCACTAGTAGTAGTCAACTTGCTCCCATCAGTAATTGTAATAATTATTGCTGGCTCCAAGAAAAAGGGGTTTCTTCCCTAAAGTCAAAAAACACATTAATCATATTAAGATCTAGACCAGCCGTGGGCAAACTACGGCCCGCGGGCCGGATCCGGCCGTTTGAAATGAATAAAACAAACAAAAAAAAGACCGTACCCTTTTATGTAATTATGTTTACTTTGAATTTATATTAGTTAACACAAACACTCCATCCATGCTTTTGTTCCAGCCCTCCGGTCCAGTTTAAGAACCCATTGTGGCCCTCGAGTCAAAAAGTTTGCCCACCCCTGATCTAGACATTAGTTCATTTTTTCTGAGTAAAAAGTCAATGCTCAGAACAGTGCCTAAATCCCTCTTTATGTTGTTAAATTTTAAAGATAGTGTATAGGCTCTTGTACATTTAAAAAAACTAGAAGGAAACAAACCAAACAGGAGATAATCTTAAAGGAGTAGGATTAAGTAGAGAAAAAGGTGGGCTTTTCACTTCTCCCTACATTGTTTTAATTTTTATAGTGAGCATTTACATTTATGTAACTATCTAAAAGTATTTAATTTCTTAAAAGAGATTCCATAATTAAGTTCTAATAACTGAGCATATTCAGATATTACAAATTAAAAGGATAACATTTTCTTAGAAACTTCTTAAAAAGGAAGGCAGAATGATAGGTGAACATTATCATGTAATTTAATCCAAGAGCTAGTTCCATGGAAAAACTAGGGCTACTCTGAGCTTAGCAAAATTAATAATAGTCCAATGCAAAAAATTATATAGTAATTACACAGGATGGTTACTTAAAGAAACTACTTGGTGAAGAGTACAAAAACAGTAGCGGTGGCAATGGAACACAGTGAAAAAGTTCTCAAATGCTCTATAGGTAGGGTACAATAACTACATTAACTTCCATTCAAATCTGTAGTCAAGTCATTCTATGAATACAATAATCGATTCTAAGTGACATAGGGGCTCAGATAAACATAAACTTATCTTTTACATATAAATGGTTCTCATCTGAGATACTAAGCACATTGTGTATAAAACTATAATGAAAGATTGAAGTTTCTAGAGGGTAAACCTGGTGTTTGAAATCAAAGATATCAAATTCTCAGTTACTAACAATGTTCAAGGACAGAATGAAGTTTTATTGGATATGATGTTAAAAAGCATGACAAATTTTAATGTGCATATGAACATGGAGATCTTGATAAAATGCAGGGTCTAATTCAGTAGGTATGGAATGGAGACTAGTGTTATTATACATATCTAATAAGATTGCAGGCTAGGAGATGCTAATGTGCACAGACCATACTTAGAATAGCAAAGATGTAAAAAGATTTTTACATGCATGTACTCATCTATGGGTCTATAAGCTTTCCCTTACACATTTATATAACTCTCGATCATTAGCATATTATAGTACATAGTCATTATTTATTGAATTTTCAAACACTTTTTCACAGACAGTAATTGTGATCATAATCTAATCATCATAAAGAGCTCAGAGTGGGGGTCTAATAGATTACATTTCTTGATCAAGTTACACAACTTCTAAGTGGCATATACATTTTTTCAAACTGGTGTCCAGATGGAGGAAGCTTCTTCTGGTCAAATAAAATATGTTGGATATAAGCTCGAGGATTTCGAATGCACAGTAGCATTCAAATGTTAGAGAAGCTTTGCAGGAATAACATATGAATTTACCTTCCCTTCCTCCTCTACAACATTCATGGTAAATATGACACATTTTTGGAACTATTACATTATACTATATTGTCTCTAATACCATTCACCCCCAACATAAATGACAAATTCTAATAATGCAGTTCTTCTCATGGATCTAGAAACAGATAATGCTCATTCCCATCTCTGAGCTTTGACTAGTTCCCTCAAGTAGAATGCTTTTCCTTTTCCCTGCCCACAACCCACCCAATTCCTAATCATTCCTTAAGGTATAGTTTATCATAAAGTGCTGAGGGTACGAGTCTGTAAATTACATTTCTTGATCCTCTTCTTCCATGAAACCTTCCCTGATTACTCTGGCCTTAAATAAGTACACCCTTCTCCTTCTCCAAATTCTAATAGTAATAGTTTTCAAGCCCAAGTTAAATAAATATATTTACATATTTAACATAGATAAATAAAGTATTTCTTCAAATAAAACTGGATTTTGAGTGGTTTCATGGAGTACATTTTGAATACCACTTCCCTACAGCATTTATCCCCTCTCAACAAATTATTTTAAATTTAAATATATAACACCTTGCACTGCAATATGAATATTTAACACTACTAAACTCTACACTTAAAAACAGTTAAGATGGTACATTTTGTTGTGTGCTTCTACCACAATTTTTAAGAAATACACTATCTTGTATTATTTGCTATTGTTTTATGTGTTTCAATACATTAAAGGCACGGATCATGTCATATTTCTTCCTTGGGCCTGAACACAAAATATTTAAACAATGAGCACTTAAATGTTCATTATTCACGAATTATATAGCCTATTACAAACCTGTCAAAGTTCACAGAACCATTTAAAATTATTCAAACTTCAATAAGCTTAAAAAATGCTACCTTCGAAGAAACCAAGATGGCGGCATAGGCAAAGACCGAAATTGCTGCCTCCTACAATAACTTCAAAAATACAAGAAAAAGACAAAATGGACATCATCCAGAACTACAGGAAGGCTGGCTGAGTGGAAATTCTACAACTAGAAGGAAAGAGAAAAGCACACTGAGAGTCAGGAGCTGCGGAAGTAAAGTGCAAAGGTACGGAGGCTCGAGCGCGCGCGGAAAAGGGGTTGGCACCTGAGGACGCGGCTGTCTTTTTGAGTCGGGAGGGAGTCACAAGCTCCTGACTGCTCTGAACTCCAGTTCCGGGAAGTCTCTGGGGACCCAGGACTCATACGGGGAGAAACTGGACTGTCTGGCAGCAGACAGAACTCGGAACTCGAGGGCGGCTTTCCCTCAGAGGTGCCTGCAGCAATTAAATTACCGGGACACTGAGACATGCAGCCCTTTAGGGCTGGGCTGAGGATCTGCCATAGCTGCTTGCTCCACCCTGTTGATTCCTTGAGACCCCGTCCCACCCAGGCTGGGGCAGAGGCTTTTGCATACGAATACCCTGGCCATTTGCAACCTGAAAATTACCTAACAAATTACAGCTGGGCCAGACAGACCCAGAACTTCCAAGAGAAGGCCCAAGGCCCCATAGCAGCTTGCATTGCTTCACAGCTGGGCCTCATCTGGGCACCTCCAAACTCCAAAAAAGGAAGGGGAATCTGCAGATCTTTTGATAGCTCCTGCTGGGTAACCTCAGGAAGAGACTAAATTAGCACCTCCTTAGATCCAAGAGCCAGTGTACCCAGTGGTCAGAGTGGGACCATCCAGATTACAACTCAGATCCATAAGGGACACACTCAGGGGGCAAACTCAGAGAGCACCAAAGCCCCACTGAAGCAAGTCTTCCCCCAGAAGGGTGTCTTCAGCACAGAAGTTCTCCCACTGTAGACAGAGCTGATTCTCACTGCCAATTGGCCTGGAGGTCAATTCCTCCCAGTGATACCTACAACAATCAAGGCATAACTACAACAAGACTGTGCACAAAGCCCACAAGGGGGTGCAACAAAAGTGTCCATCTCAGATAATTGGGGAGACTGAGCCACTGGGCCCTATAGGACACCTAGCACACAAAACCACTCTACCAACACAGGGAAGCATAAAAAATGCACAGACAAAGAAACAGGTCACAAATGACAGATATGGAGGAAAGCAAACGACTGGATATAGAGTTCAAAACCACGTTTATAAGGTTTTTCAAGAATTTTATGGAAACCGCCAATAAATTTAGTGAGACCCTTGAGAATATGAAAAAACACCAACTAGAAATTAAGCATACACTGACTGAAATAAAGAATAATATACAGAGATCCAACAGCAGACAAGAGGATCACAAGAATCAAGTCAAAGATTTGAAATATGAAGAAACAAAAAATACCCAACCAAAAAAGAAAAAAGAATCCAAAAATATGAAGATAGTGTAAGGAGCCTCTGGGACAACTTCAAGCGTACCAACATCAGAATTATAGGGGTACCAGAAGAAGAGAGAGCAAGATATTGAAAACCTATTTGAAGAAATAATGACAGAAAACTTCCCCTACCTGGTGAAAGAAATAGACTTACAAGTCTAGGAAGCACAAAGAACCCCAAACAAAAGGAATCCAAAGAGGACCACACCAAGACACATCATAATTAAAATGCCAAGAGCAAAAGACAAAGAGAGAATCTTAAAAGCAGCAAGAGAAAAAAAGTCAGTTACCTACAAGGGAGTACCCATACGATTGTCAGCTGATTTCTCAACAGAAACCATGCAGGCCAGAAGAGAGTGGCAAGAAATATTCAAAGTGATGAATAGCAAGAACCTACAACCAAGATTACTTTATCCAGCAAAGCTATCATTCAGAATTGAAGGTCAGATAAAGAGCTTCACAGATAAGAAAAAGCTAAAGGAGTTCATCACCACCAAACCAGCATTATATGAAATGCTGAAGGGTATTCTTTAAGAAGAGGAAGAAGAAAAAGGAACACTTATCATTTGCCACAGCATGGATGGAACTGGAGAGCATTATGCTAAGTGAAATAAGCCAGTCAGAGAAGGATAAATACCACATGATCTCAGTCATTTGTGGAATATAATAAACAACATAAACTGATGAACAAGGACTGATCCAGAGACAGAGAGGCATTGATTGGACTGTTGGGCCTTGGAGGGAAGGTAGGAGAGGGTGGAGGTAAGGGGGAAAGATCAACCAAAGGACTTATATGCAAGCATATAGGCCTAACCAATGGACACGGACAATGGGGGGGTGAGGGCATGAGCGGGGGGTTTGGGGGGATAGGGGGTAACGTGGGGATAAGGACACATATGTAATATCTTAATCATAAAAAAATATATTAAAAAAAATGCTACCTTCACTTCCATATAAATGAGTGCTTCCCAAACTTAACACATAACTCATGAACTTGCTAGGCTACACA